GATCTCTGAGGTCCCTTCCAGCCCAGCTGATTCTGTGATTCTCCACGAGGTGTCCCATGGGGAAAAAAGATTTCCTCTCAGGAAAAGGAAAGGAGGCCGCCAAAACCGGGTCCCCCTCCCCTGCTCTATCCGGTCGACCAACAAAACCCAAAAACCTCCCAACCAAAAATCCCCCCCAGCCGTGTCCCCCCAGCCAGACTTGCAGAACATCCCCCCTGTCCCCACTCCCGCTGCCCCGCGCGTGGGCTCCGCTCGTCCCCCACCCCCTCCCTGACTCCCCCATCCCAGAAGAAACTGTTGGGGGAGGGAAGAAATTCCAACATCTCTTTTCAAACCTAGGGCAGATAGAAAATGTGTCACCACTCTGTGGAACCTGATGGTGTCCCACAGTCCTCTTCTTCTGGTCTTCTCAGTGGTGAAGGTCCCACAAGACACAAAGCCCGGTGGATTAATTTACGTTCAGGAGATGCCAGGCACCTCCCCTGGAGGGGGGAAGCTTTACAGACTCTTACAACAGGCTCTGGATTTGTTGCCTCACTTGGATCTCCTGCAGTCCCCTGGTGGTGGGAGGTCTCAGAAATGAGTCTGGGGGGCGCTTTGGGGGTCTTTTATGGTTTATGACCCTTCTCAGCTGCCTTTCACATGAATGTCCCGTGTGCACGTGGCCTTCCTGGAGCAGGAGAGGGGGTTACTCCTCAGCAGCGCTGTTTTGTGTGGAGAGATTTCACCGTCACACACCCAAAACCCTTCTCCTCCGCCCGCTGAGCCCAGCTAGGGCTGATGCTCATGCTGAGTTTGGCTTTCTTTGTGGACACATTCTTCTTCCCTGAGCCCCGTTTGCCCCTCCTTAGACCTGAGATAATTGGAGAACAGTCTTATCTCAAGCCTCACACTCCAAATTCTGGTCAGGAGGCACGTTTGGGAGGGGGGTTTGCTTTGCTGGTCCCAGACGGACAGTTGCTTCCTTGCAGTTTGACAAAAAGTCTTTCCATGATTTTGACAATGTTTAAGGCATTAAACAACATTTCAGCCTCTCACACCATCCATGCCAGGATGGGAGATGTCCTCCAGCCCACAACATGGTCTCATGGTGTTGCTGTTTCCTTATCCCAATTTTCAGAGGCAACGGCATCGACTACATGGAATTCCGCCTCTGGATTGGGCTGCACTCGGCCCTACAGTGCCTTATCCTGGTGGCCACGGATGCCAGCTTCATTATAAAGTACATCACACGCTTCACAGAGGAAGGCTTCTCCACCCTCATCAGCTTCATCTTCATCTACGATGCCATCAAGAAGATGATCGGGGCCTTCAAGTACTACCCCATCAACTCCGACTTCAAGCCCGACTACGTGACCATGTACAAGTGCGAGTGCATTGCTCCCGACCCAGGTGAGTACACCTCCTCCTCGGGGCTGGCCAGGGAACAGGAACGGGGTGGGAGGGTCCTGTCGTGGATAAATCCCACCGGATCGTTGGCCAAGGACGTGGGAAGAGGCAACAACCTCGTCAGCGTGTGGTGGAGAGACATTGTCCTCACCCTCCTCCTCTGAGGGGGATTCTGAAGGTGGAAGAAGAGCCTTATCCCTCATGGATGAACATGTCGGTGCCTTCTGGGACACAGCAAACGGTGCCAAGGGGAGAGACTCATCGTCATCCTCCTCTGAGGGTGATTTTGAAGATGGAAGATGCGCCTTGTCCCCCATGGATCAACATGTTGGTGCCTTCTGGGACACAGTGAATGGTGCTGAGTGGAGACACCTCGTCCTCATCCTCCTCTGAGGGTGATTGTGAAGATGGAAGAAGAGCCTTGTCGCCCATGGATGGACATCTCAGTGCTTTCTGGGACAGAGTGAATGGTGCTGAAGAGTCAGGATCTCAGCCTGGAGCAGCCAGACCTGGATGGATAAGGAGGAAATATGGAAACAAAAAGACATTTTAGATCATTCATTCCAACCTGCCGCCGATGGGAACTTACTCTCCAGAAAACACCTGGAGTAGTTTTGTCCTCTCTGGTGTCTGGGACACCCCGGGATGTCCCAGTTGGGTGTGCAAACCCCCATGGACTGATTTTTCTCCTGTTTTTTGCTCCTTTTCAAAAAGGAGAGGCCATTGGGCTCTGAGCAGATGGTCTTTCAATGGCTCCCCTGGTTTTGCTCTTGGATAGACATCCTGGATGACCCGTAATCCGAATTGTGCAGCTCAGATGCTCCTGAAGGAAGCACCTGGAAGGGAGTGGAGATTTTGGGCAGTGACCACCTGCTCTCAGAGGAGCTGAATTGATTTTAAAAAGTCTAAATAATAACAGTTTGGGGGAGTATCAGCTACAGACAGAGAAGGCTGGTGAGGAATGAAGGTGATGGTGAAGCTCTTCCCAGGAATTAAAGCATCCAAGACTTTCCACCCAACATGCTCCCAATACCATTCCAAGGAGACATTTGACCTCCATGATGGGAATAACGTGTGTTTGGTTTAATTTTGTATTTTTTGCTCAATTTCTGCTCATCCACCGCCTGCCGAGTGACGCCGTCCCTTGGGATTTGAAAGCCTAGAGGAGCACCCAGAGCCAACACAGTTTCTTCCAAATGAACCCCCCAAACGTGACCTGAGGGAGGGTGAAGGCGAAGGCTCAGCGTAATTTCCGGGAGCTGAAATACCCCGATGGGAGCCGTGACCACCCACCCGTGTGTGCCGGAATCTGCCCGGCAGCACCCGCTGCCTCGGCCTAAGGCAGGAGGAAGGCGAAGCCTTCAGCCTCCAGGGAGGTTTCCCCCTTTTCCAAGCCCTCATCCCGAGAAAATCCCGAGCAACCGAGAGGCATTTGCACCCCGAAAACCTCCAACCTCTTTGCAACCCATTCCTCGCCCTCACTGCCCAAGGCAGTGATTTTCCACATTGGATTTTCCACTCCTCTAGATAATGAGAAATTCTGTTTATTATTCTCCCCTCCATCCTTTTTTTTTTTTAATCATCCTTTTTTTTTTAATTAGCTCTGATTTTTGATCATTATAACTGATTTGTCCCATATTTGTCTCTGCTGCACACATCAATTTGGGCTGATTTCAATCTCAAGTGAGTATCACCTTCTAAATATTAAAACTATTTTAATATTTGATACTCTTCCCCCGTGAGGGTTTTGTTGTTATTTTTTTTTCCATGTATTTTACTTTTCTCTCTCTGCTAAAAGGGTCTGTGTAGAGCCCTTAAGGGCCCTCTCTTAAATATCACCAGCGCTGTGCTGCCCTTTAAGTTGTAGAAAGCACAAATAAGGCCGGTTTCTGGAAAAATAAAAGGATGTGGAGGGAAAAATCATATTAATAATAATGATGTTTTTAGTGCTGGGTTTGCCAGAGCCTGGTTTTGGCAGCCCCCGGGTCTCTGCTTCTAACCCAGCAATCGCTTCTCCTTCATTAATCCTCGGCGCCGGGGATGGAGCGGCAGGTCCGGGGCAGCCGAAATTCCCGCTTGGCACAGGAAGAGGATGGACCGGAGGGAAGAGGGGAGGGCAGAGCGGCCCCGGACCCCTCTTTGGGGCACCCAGAAACAACGCGGGCGCTCCTGAAGCCGCGGAGCTGCGACCCCCGAAGATCCCGGAGCCGCTTTTAGTCCTGGAAGAGGAGGCGCCGGGGGCTGGAAAAAGATGGATTTTTGCAGTGAGAGACATCAAAACACCCCTAAAATATTTTTTTTTTAAAACTACTAAGACAAATTTAAAAAGGCGAATTGGGAACGATTGGGTGCCGCCTCTCTAAAAGTAACAGGCTGCTTTTTCAGTCTTTCCCCCCGCAGTTTTAAGCCGCGGGTGTCGGGATGCTCCACACCCCTCTGCCGGCGGCTTCCCTGTGAAGCTCTTAAAAATTTTAGGGGCTGGGAAGCTCCCAAAAATACCCCTCGCCAGCCCTGGAGGGAGAAGCCGCCGCGGGAGAAGCCGCGTCCTCCAGTGCCGCGTGGGATTAATCAGGGAGAAGTCGCTGCGGGGTTAGAAATGGGGGGGGTCCTCCCCAAATCGCGCTCCGCCCTCGGGATGCCGATCCCTGCGAGGATGTCCTCCACCCCACTTTGCTTCCCGTGCCGGATCCCGGCTGGTTTGAATGCCAAAAAAAAAAAAGCTCGATTTTAGCCAAAAACCTCAATAACAAACTCCTTTCCCGCAGCCAACGCGACCTTGTTCGATGCTTCAGCTCCAGTGGCACCGAACACCACTAACGTTTCTCTGGTAAGCGGGTTTGCTCCTCCATCCCACCGGGAATTTTGGGACGAGGGAGGGCGGATCTGAGGCACTTCGGCATGCGGGGAGTGAGTTGTGCCGGCTTGGAGAGGGGGAAACTCAGATTTCTGTTGGTTTGGGTTCATCGGCACCAAATCCTCACTCTTTTTGCCCAAATTCATATCAGCTCTGGGGTTTTCCGGTGGTTTTGGGGCTCCCAGTGGCAGCAGCCCTGGGAAATGCCCCTCTCCTTGCATGCTGGGATTACTTAAATTCCTAATTTTGGGGGTTTGACCAGGAAATCCCCCTTTACTTGCACACTTCAATCACTTAAAGGACTAATTTTGGGGGTTTGGTCACAAATTACCCTTTTCCTTCCATTCTGCAACTGCTAAAAATGCTGATTTTGCCTTTTTTACAATGAAATGCCCCTTTCCTTGCACACTGGGATTCCTCAAAATATTAATTTTAGGTGTTTGGCCACGAAATGCCCCTTTCCTTGCAAGCTAAAGTTGCTAAAAGCGCCAATTTTGCTCCATTTGGTCGGGAATTCCCCCTGTCTCCGCACGCTGCAGTTCCATCAGATGTTAATTTTGCCTTTTCGGGCTTTCTCCCCAGTCCAATGCTATTAACCTCACAGCTCTGGACTGGACTCAGCTCAGCAAGAAGGAATGTCTCAAATACGGCGGCAGCTTAGTGGGAAAATCCTGCAAATTTGTGCCAGACTTGGCCCTCATGTCCTTCATCCTCTTCTTCGGGACCTACTCCATGACCTTGACCCTGAAGAAGTTCAAGTTCAGCCGTTATTTCCCCACCAAGGTAAGGAAAGCACCAGGGTTTTTTCACCCACTTTTCCAAAGAAGAGATAAAATGGAAGCTGTCGGCCTTTTTGTTGGATGTGAGGAACTCTGGGAAAATAAATCCATATTTTAGAGGGGTTGGAAGGAATTGGAATCTCCTCGAGCTTTTAGCCAGTGTTATATGGACTTCTGTAAAGCCTTCAAAACAGTGCCCCAGAATATCCTTCCTGTCGGAGGCAGATTTTAATGGTCTTTTAGATTAAAAGATAAAGGATAAGGAATGGGTTGGATGGTCACATCCAGAGGGAAGTGGTCAACAGCTCAGAGTCCCCATGGATACCAGTGACCAGTGGTGTCCGTGTGGGACCAGAATGATTTCATAACTTCATTAGTGACACAAGTGAAGGGGTTGACACCAAGCTGGGAGTGCAGGTGCACTCCCAAACGATGGGATATTGGGAAGGAATTCCCCCCTGGAGGGTGATGAGGGGCTGGGATGGAATTCCCAGAGAAGCTGTGGCTGCCCCATCCCTGGAAGTGTCCAAGCCCAGGTTGGACAGGGCTTGGAGCAATTGGAAGGGGCTATGGAAGTTGTCCATGCCCACGGCAGGGGGTGGGACTGGATGATCTTTAATATCCCATCCAATCTAAACCATGCCATGATTCCATGATTCTGCAACTTGGCTCTCACATGCTGAATAACCCTTGTGACAAAAGGGGAGAAAAACCTGGAGTTTTGTGGGTTATCCCTGCATGACTGGAGTTGGAAACCCCCAGGGACAGACGCCAAAGCAGGAGCAGACTCCTCCATCCCACTCATTTTCCTCTCCATCCCATTAATTACCCTTTTCACCCCCATTTCCCTGTCTTGCCTCCAGGTCAGGGCTTTCATTGCTGATTTTTCCAATGTCTTCTCCATCCTGATTTTCTGTGGAGTGGATGCCTGTTTTGGACTGGACACCCCCAAACTCCACATTCCCAATATCATCAAGGTTTGGCCAAAACGAGGAGACCCCTCACCTCTTCCACACTCTCTTTCCAGCTCCTCACTAATTTTTGGGGAAAAACACATCTCCTGCAGTGTCCTGGCATCTTCTTAAAAGCTGCTTTGTCTTTTCTAAGGAATATTCTAACTCTGTGGCTTTCTTTCCTCCCCTTTCTTGTTGTTTTTCCTCCCTTTTCTCTCTCTCTCCCTCCCGGCAGCTCCGTAAACTCATTAGTGATTTCTCTATCTTTATGTCCATACTAATGTTTGTGGGGCTGGATGTGCTTTTTGGACTCAACACCCCAAAGCTCCAAGTGCCTACTGATTTTAAGGTAAAAAAAAAAAAAAGCAAGGAAACCCCATTCCAGACGAATTTCTCTTCCCCAGTTTCTCTTCCCCCATCCAGGGTTTTGCTGCGGGTGATGTGGGGAGTCCCAAGGGCAGAATTTGGTGTTGGTGGGGATGCTGGGGGTGGTTTGGGTGCAAAGGTGGATTCAGGGATGGGTCTGGGATGGGTGGTGGGGTGATGTGGGGCTTCCCAAAATGTCAGTGGTTTGTCCCCCTCTGGTTTGTCCCTGCCTGGTCCAACCCCCCTCTGTTCTCTCCCAGCCCACCCGTGTGGACCGAGGGTGGTTCGTGTTCCCCTTTGGGAAGAACCCCTGGTGGGTTTACCTGGCCAGTGCCCTCCCTGCCCTCCTGGTCACCATCCTCATCTTCATGGACCAGCAGATCACGGCCGTCATCGTCAACAGGAAGGAGCACAAGCTGCGGGTGAGCCGGGACCTGGGCCTGGGCACCCCCTGAGCACCCGATTTTGGGGGCTTTGGGGGGGCTGCTGCAGGTCAGGGGAGTGAAGATGGGGAAGGGCCTTGATTGGAAGCCGTGGGAGGACACTGAGGGCACTTGGTGTGTTCAGCTGGAGAAGAGGGGACTGAGGGGAGACCTCAGTGCAGTTCCAACTGCCTGGGCAGGGGCAGAGGAGGGGCAGGGACTGAGCTCTGCTCTGGGGGGACTGGGGACAGCAGCCAGGGAATGGCTGGAGCTGTGTCAGGGCAGGCTCAAGTTGGATCTCAGGCAAAGGTTCTTCCCCCAGAGGGTGGTTGGGCACTGACCAGGCTCCCCAGGGCAGTGGGCACAGCCCCAAGGCTGCCAGAGCTGCAGGAGGGTTTGGATGATCCTCTGGGGCACAGGGGGGGACTCTTGGGGCTGGGCCTGTGCAGGGCTGAGGGTTGGACTGATGGTCCTTGTGGGTCCCTCCCAGCTCAGGATGTTCTGGGATTCTGTGGGTTTTGCCCTGGCTCAGCACATCCTGCAGGGCAGGGGATCCCCCTTTCCTTGGCAAGCTGACAAACCCTCTGGGGGGCTAAAGGCATGTTATGCTGCAGGTAATGGGGTGCAGTGGGGTGATACAGGGGGCAGCAGGGTAGGGGGATACAGAGGGGTGCAGAGTGGTGATGTGGGGTGATGCAGGGCGATGTGGAGAGATGTGGGGTGCAGGAGGGTCATGCAGGGTGTACGAGAGCACCACAGGGGCTTCAGAGAGGTGTGGGGTGCTTCAGTGGGCTGCAGGGTGCAGCCTGGCAGTGCTGGGTGCACTGTGGCCATGTGGGGAGCAGCAGTGCAGCGTGGGATGCACTTCAGCAATGGTGGGTGCGCCAGGGTGCACTGGGGGGGATGCAGGGTGCCCCACGGCAATGTGGGGGTCCTGCAAGGTGATGTGGGGTGCTTTGGGATGATGTGGGGTGACACAAAGGGGCACTGTGGCAATTTGGGGTGCGCCAGAGTGGTGCTGGGTGCACCAAGGCAATGTGGGGTGCATGAGGGTGCTGCGGGGTGCTCTGCAGCTGTCTCAGGATGCATGAGGGTGATGTGGGGTGCCCCATGGCAGTGCTGGGTGTCCTTTGACGACATGGGGTGCACCAGTTTGATGTGGGGTGTGCCAGGGGGTGCACTGTGTCAATGTGGTGGGCATCAGGGTGCTGCAGGGTGCTCTGCAGCAGTACCAGGGTGCTTTAGGGGGATGTAGGGTGGTGCTGGGTGCACTGTGGTGGGGGGGTGCATCAGTGGGATGTGGGGTGCACCACAGCAATGATGGGTGGTGCAGGGAGATGCAGGGTGCTTCAGGGGCATGTGGGGTGCTTCAGGATGATGTGGGGTGGTGCAGGGTGCACCATGGCACTGTGGGGTGCAGGAGGGTGATATGGGGTGTATGAGAGCAATGCAGGGGGCTTCAGGGGAATGCAGGATGTCCGTGGCAATGTGGGTGCATCAGGGTGATGTGGGGTGCAGGAAGATGCCAGAGGGTGTTCTGCAGCTGTCTCAGGGTGCTTCAGGGTGATGTGGGGTGACGTCAGGTGCCCCATGGCAGTGTGTGGTGCATGAGGATGATGTGGGGTGCACCACAACAGTGATGGGTGTGCCAGGGTGATGCAGAGCAATGTGGGGTGCGCCAGAGTGGTGTGAGGTGATGTAGGGTGATGCAGGATGTACCATGTCGATGTGGGGTGCTCCAGGGTGATGTGGGGCTCACCATGGCAGTGCTGGGTGCACCATAACAATGTGGGGTGCTCCAGGGTGATGTGGGGCTCACCATGGCAGTGCTGGGTGCACCATAACAATGTGGGGTGCCCCAGGGTGATGTGGGGTGATGTGGGGTGATTCAGGATGCACCATGTCAATGTGGGGTGCTCCAGGGTGATATGGGGTGATGTGGGGTGCTGTGGGGTGATGGCAGGTGCCCCACGTCGATGTGGGGTACCCCAGGGTGATGTGGGGTGATGTGGGGTAATTCAGGATGCACCATGTCAATGTGGGGTGCTCCAGGGGGATGCCAGGTGCCCCCTGGCCATGTGGGGTACCCCAGGGTGATATGGGGTGATGTGGGGTAATTCAGGATGCACCATGTCAATGTGGGGTGCTCCAGGGGGATGCCAGGTGCCCCCTGGCCATGTGGGGTACCCCAGGGTGATATGGGGTGATGTGGGGTAATTCAGGATGCATCATGTCAGTGTGGGGTGCTCCAGGATGATGTGGGGTGATGCCAGGTGCCCCACGTCGATGTGGGGTGCTCCAGGATGATGTGGGGTGATGCCAGGTGCCCCCTGGCCATGTGGGGTACCCCAGGGTGATGTGGGGTGATGTGGGGTGCTGTGGGGTGATGGCAGGTGCCCCCAGCAGCATGTGGTGCCCGAGGGTGCTGTAGGTGCCTCAAGGCCACTCAGGGTGCCCCGTGGCACTGCACGACCCTTTAGGGGGAGTGCCCGTGGGGGGACACCCCACCTTGGCGGGCTCTGGGGCGACCGCAGGAAGATCCCCCGACCCCCTGGGTGTGCTGTGTTGCAGAAAGCAGCGGGTTACCACCTGGACCTGTTCTGGGTGGGCATCCTGATGGCCGTGTGCTCCTTCATGGGGCTGCCCTGGTACGTGGCCGCCACCGTGATCTCCATCGCCCACATCGACAGCCTGAAGATGGAGACGGAGACCAGCGCGCCCGGGGAGCAGCCGCAGTTCCTGGGGGTCAGGTGAGGAAGGCTCGGCCCTCCCCTTCCTCGGGCCGGGGATGGGGGGGGAACCCAACCACAGCCGGCTCATCCCGCTCCTCCCACCGTTCCAGGGAGCAGAGGGTGACCGGGATCATCGTCTTCGTGCTCACGGGGATTTCGGTCTTCCTGGCCCCCATCCTGAAGGTAAAACATTCCTGTTCCCACGTCTCTGTTCCCTCCCTGCAAGAAAAAAAGGACTCTGCCCCCTCCCATGGCCCCCATCCTGGAGGTAAAACATTCCTGTTCCCACATCCCAGCTCCCTCCCCATGGCCCCCCTCCGGAAGGTAAAACATTCCTGTTTCCATCTCCCTCCCTAAAGAAAAAACTGGATTCTTCCCCCTCCCCATGGACCCCATCCTGGGGGTAGAACACTCCCATTCCCACATCCCTGCAAATGTCCAGGAAAAGCTGAAATCTGCCCCCTACCATGGCCCCACCCTGGAGATAAAACACTCCTATTCCCACATCCCTGGAAATGTCCAGGAAAAGCTGGATTCTGCCCCTTCCCCATGGCCCCCATCTCAAAGGTAAAACATTCTCATTCCCACATCCCCATTCCCTTCCTGCAACTGTCCAGGAAAAGCTGGGTTTTATTCCCTTCCCATGTCCTCCATCCTGAAGGTAGAATATTCCCATTCCCACATCCCAGCTCCCTCCCTACAGAAGTCCAGGAAAAGCTGGATTCTGCCCCCTCCCTGTCGCCTCCCATTCCGGAGGTAGAACATTCCCATTCCCACATCCCTGCAAATGTCCAGAAAAAGCTGGATTTTTCCCCCTCCCCACGGCCCCAGTCCTGGAGTCAAAACATTCCCATTCCCACATCCCGGTTCCCTCCCTGCAAAAAGGTGGATTTGGCCCAAAGGTAGAACATTCCCATTGCCACATCCCAGCTCCCTCCCTTCAGATATCCAAGGAAAAGCTGGGGTTTTCCCCCTCCTCATGACCCCCCGAGTTGGTCCTTGTCCTAGGAATGAGCTACTGCCTTCCCTGGGCTGAGTTCCATGTTTTTTCATGTTCCCAGTACATTCCCATGCCAGTGCTCTACGGTGTCTTCCTGTACATGGGGGTGGCATCACTGAACGGCATCCAGGTGAGTTCTCCTCCTCCTCCCCTCCTCCTCC